GAGCTACGACAACCATCAGTGAACGTGATGCACACATTGTTGAAGTCACATCCATGATGACGACACTGAAAAGGGTGATACTAGATGACAAACAAAATCTTTTGCAGAAAATGGAAGAATTTCAATTGGTGTTCATGCTTTATCATGACAGGTTTGCTTGCACAGTTTCACAAAGTAAGTAATGCTCTTCAAAGTGCACAGATTTCATTGGCTATATGTGCAAACTTATACAGTTCACTTCTGCAATTTGTTTCCAACACAAGGGAAAACTTTAATGAGATTGAGGAGCAAGCAAAAACTACTCCACCTGATGTAGAGTACAGCAAGAGTAATATATATATATATATATATATATACTCATACATGTTTCATTAAATAATATAGACAAGTGTTGTCTATTTATTTTATGTAAATTCTTTTCATAACGTCTGATAAGCTTAATAACATTATCATTAAACGAAGAAAGAAAATCACAATATTGATCCATATTTTTTAATCCAATCTAAGCTTTTGGCTTACATAAGCCATTATCAAAGATGTCAATTACTGTACAGCATAGTAAGCAATACATGGACAAGAATGTGATGATAGTCTGTTTCTGTTTACATGGATGATTTCCTAACAATGATAAACATGTGCATATAAGGCACTAGAAGCGAATATCGCACCACAGCACATGACGTCACACGAGAGTTAATTTGAGAAGTATTAAGTATGGGAAGCCGTTGACATAAACCAATGGCTTCTGTTCCCAATTATAGACGTTTAAGGATATTTGTAGAGATTCCATAGTTGATTTTGTTTAGGTTGGGTTTCAACTGTTTGATGTATATTGCTTCAAGGATTTTTAGTGTTTTTGTCTATTGTTTTCATGTTTAAGTATAATTGTGTTTTCGACGAGGATTTTACGGAATGTTGTTTTAAATGCCTAAAAATATTAGAGTTTTCATTCAAATATATATATATATATATATATAATAAAAAGGCTTAAACACTAATATTCTATGGTCATAATTTATTCCATTGGAATCGTTTAAGCCTTTTTATTATATCCTTACTCTGTCCTAGACATTGAGTTCTACCTGGATCCTTCCTCTTGGAAAAATTTTTTTCTGAAAATATACATGTATGGGAATTTTTTAGATATATTTTTCATATGTATGTATATTTTCCACTAATATTATCTATATATATATATATATATATATATATATATATTACACTGAATGTCGGAGCAAACAGGTGTTTTGTGTTGATCAATTTTAATGATCAAATTTTCCAAATTATAAATAATCCTATAATAATATAGTAATGATAAAATAATCACAATGGAATACAGATTTTATTGCAGTTACAATAAATTTGTCTTTGTAATTTACCCATGATGATAATCTTGTAAAAGATTGAAAGTACTTGGGTTAAAAAAAAACTATGGCACTGCCCTTGATGAATTTAATCTTAACATCAGGAAAATGATTAGAGAACTGAAAAGGATCAGTATAAAAATAAGTAAAAAAAAATATGTCTATATTATTCAATGAAACATTATATATATATATATATATATATATATATATATATATATGAAAATTTCTCAGAGTTAACCTGTAGAAAAGACAATATTTATAAATATAAATGATAATAGGAAAACTGTCCGCATTGGACGGAACGCGTCAGCAATAACTACAGTTTTTCTATTGTCATTTATATATATATATATATATATATGTGTGTGTGTGCACTACCCCTACACAAAATGAGAAAATACAATCACATGTAAATACTCAGTTTCTTATAAGATTTCATTGGCTCAAAATGTCCAAGTATCACTGTGAAGGAGGAAGCACAAAATAGTGACAATATTCATTTTGGCATTACTAATAGCAGCAATTTGAATTAGAGAATTATATGTTTTTGAAACATTCATCTTTTGATAAATTATGTTAAGGTTGTTATGCTTCAAAATTCTTATTTGTATATTGTAAAGAACATGATGACAGATGAAATTCTCAATTGAACGATAGAAAAAATAGTTTGGAATTTATGAAGTTAGATATAGATGCAAGCAAACAAAAGAGGAAAGACTTAATGAGAAATACATAGAAATGAAAAACAAAATGAAACTGCAGAAAATGTTCTCTTTTGCAGGATGTATAAAATCTAAAAAGAGAATCATATTGGGAAAAATGACAATTACTACAGAGGTGCAATGAATGAATATACAGGCAAGCTATTCAGTGACAAGAGAATAGAGAATCAACAAGACATAAAAACATAAAAAAAATCCTGTAATATCAGTCTGAGAATTAAGTTAGCTCTGGCCTAAATGAAGTGGAACATCCCATGAGATTATAATAGAGATGATGACAGATTTTTAAATTATAAGGCTGCCAGAGTTATAAATATGACAGTGGTGCAATACACAAGATCAAATCATCATAGCATTGCTAATGAAAAGATGTCAATGAATGGGAATAACATGAAACAGTTTGGTTAGTTACATAAGAAACCTATTAGATCTTTAATGACCTATTTAATGATTTAAAATGACTAATTAGAACTTGTTGCAGAATCAGACAATATATAGGGCAAAAAATGTGACCACTGGAACAAGAAATGCAATTTTCATAATCTCAGTGCTATCGGAGCTAGCAATAGAGAAAGATCCATATTTTATAGATTACACAAAGGCAATTAATAACATGACATGAGTAACTTCAAATGTTAGAAAGGTTTGATTGATATTGAAAAAAATTCAAATGATATGTAACCTTCGACTGGTTAAATACAAACAACTCATGCCAAGGAGAAAGACACAACTACCTTAGCCACCAAGCAGAGGAAGGAGGAAATAAATGATATTTAGTATGAATGATAAAAAAATGACTTGCCTCCTTTTTGAAATTATATTAGGACAATTCTTTTCATTGCTGTATGATTGATGGCTTTGATGTCTTGGTTGATATGTTTTAGAATTTTGAGAAGAGTCATTAGCATCCCAAGATTCATTTGGGCAAGAGATATCATTCTCTGAGGATGAGGAGTTATTGTTCTCATATTTATTACTATTATCACATTTCAGACTCTGTAACCTTTGGCCTTCATCAAGTGCTTTTCAATCAGAGTAACCTGCTAATATACTGTGGGACAATCCCAAGTCTAGAATTTGGCATGTTAATCCTATCCTCTTGCTGTTGTCACCGTGATCTCTCTTTTCTTATTGCTTTTGAAGACTTGTTGTCATTTCTCTTTATTAATGGCTCCCATATTGTATTCATTTCTATGCTAGGCCTAGGGGGTGGGGACTCTCTCATAACCTAGCATATGTGTTGATTCCTTCATATATATCCTAATACATATGTTACAGAAGGCAAAAGCTGGGCTGGGATGGCCAGAGTACCTCATAAGCATGGAATACTAACAATGATGGAGTGCCCTTTTCCCAAGTCTTGGATATAACTCCAAAATGGTGAAAAATCAATAGAGAGCTGCAGGAATTTTGAGGTGATGATACTAAGACTACACGTGGAGGGATGTTAAACCAACAAATAGAATGAGTTCCCTTGAAGCTCTTCCTCCCTTGCTGTCTCCTAGAATCCGTGTGGCCACGCCTGTCCTTATCATCTAATAAAATGAATAGGAAAAAGAAACCGTCTTTCATTGGTTCCATCTATGGAGTGACATTAAGGTCTAAATCTTGGACAGCAGAATTAGAAGAATCTATCCCTGTAGATTGAATAAAGGGCTCGGTTTGAAATCTATTAAAAGGTTACTCGGATCAACAAGCACTTGATGATTGTTGAAGGGCCTAATGGCTGAAATGCTGTGATGATGATAACAAGGAAGAAGATATTCGGCCAAATAAATGTAAATAAGATGTGACTGTTTATGGTGTCGGGACAAAATTTCAGCCAATCCATTCTACAGCCTTCTTCAGGTTTACAGTGCATGTAGGAAGAGATGAAGACTCTTTTTTTGTTTTTGCTTCACTTTTGCAAACTGGAAAATAGGAAGATAAGGAAAAAAGACAGCAAATATACCAGATGGATAAACCGAGGTACTATTTCAGCCAATCCATTCTACAGCCTTCTTCAGGTTTACAGTGCATGTAGAAAGAGATGAAGACTCTTTTTTGTTTTTGCTTCACTTTTGCAAACTGGAAAATGGGAAGATAAGGAAAAAAGACAGCAAATATACCAGATGGATAAACCGAGGTACTATAACAGAGGTGCAGATTTCTCTTGCTAAGCAAAAGTCGTTGTGTTATTTCAATGAAACAATAATAAAGCAAAGATGATACTTACTATCATTTTATATGGGAGAAGGAGTTAAGTGATGTCTGCACCCCCCCCCCCACGTGAAAATAAATATTTTGAGATTTTTGTTACAATTGACAATGTTTCAATTACGGCAGAGAAGTATGAATTAAATTTGGAAAGGGCAGATTTGCAAGATGTTTGTGTGTTTCTATAAATAATTTTATGATAACAAAACACACAGAGGTAAGCTGTTGAGCAAAATGTCATATTTGAACCTTTGTCCCCTCAGCCTCAGCAGACCTTTGGCACCAAGACAAGCAAACAGAAAAGTATTTTGGGAGTCTGGGAAAAAACAGAAATTTTCCCTATATAAATGGTAATTGACTCTTAGCTTTCTGAAATTTCAGATCACAAGGGCCGTGGCAGTTTGGTTAGGGGTGGGTGACCTGTACTAATTGAGTATCCTTGTATATAATTCTGATCATTCTTCATCTTAAAAACAAAGATGAAAATAAAAATTTCTCATTTGAGTCACTATTACTTGTATTACTATAAGGAAAGAATGACCCTCCCACCACCACAAAAAACCAAACAAAAAAAAAAACAAAACTTTTCATTCAATAAAACATTAACAAATAAAATAAACTTCAACTGACCCACATTCAGAGACATGTTTGGTAAAAATGAAAACGAAAAAACGAATGGAATATTAGATCAGATAAAATAAATTTTTAAAAAATTTTATGTTGCCATTTTTTTTTGACTTGTGTATTTAGTGTTAAAAATATTAACAGTTGTTTGATAACATTTTCGCAGATCATGATCACAGAAACCGACTGAATATTTTGAAGGAGTTGCTTTGAAATAATCAAGACCCCTGCCAATTTTGATGATCCAACCATTATTAAACCTGAAAGGAGAAAAAAGTAAAGATGAGGAAGAATTAAAAACATGAAAGAGATTCTTATGTCAGAGTTTATTGACATCTATATATTCAATTAGAATTATATTTAGAATTATTAAAGTGAAACGGAAGATATTCACGGAATAGCAAATAGTTTAAACCAATCGTCCAGTTTCAATGAAAGGGGGATAACTCGTCCATAAAAATCAAACAGTTACCTCCCATGGCGTTAATTTATCCTTTACTTTCATGGTTTGAATAAAATCATGTGTTCCCAACCTTTTTTTTTTTTTCCACATGGAAAAGTTTAAATCGCACACATGTATAGTAAATATTAAAAAAAATACCAAAATTTTTTGGTAAAAGTTTGTTACTTGTTCGTAAACTAATATTATGAAGTAGCAAAAAATGTTACGAAATTTCTATAAATCAACATGAACCAAAAATACCCTAGTCTTTGCAAAGGAGTAAATTGTGTCGACGGATGAAAACTAGGCAAGAATACAGCGATAAAAAATGCAGCTTGTCAGATTACTTGCTAAATATTTGTGATAGAAATCAGTTAAATTGAGAGGTAGTAGCATATTGGCGTGATGGTTATGCTCAGATGAGAATATTTGTCCATTCATTCTGTTAAATGGCAAAATAAATGTTGCAGTGTCTAAGAATATTATGCAAAATTAAAAGCCATGTCATCTAAGCATCTAATTAATATTCTTCATCAATAATGTTGTTAATTTACATGCATATTTGCAATTTTCTTCTCTAATTTGGGATGTTATATGTTTGTAATAAAAACTTGATTCCATAATTTTCTTTATTCCATAATTTTTCTTTCAGTAGATCCAAATTTACCAAAGTTGTGAAAAAGGTTTACAAAATATTGACTACAATTTTTATCACAATCAAATCTGTAGAATTGGAAATATTTTAATTTGAAACTTGTTTTCTTCTAATACGGGACACAACTGAGTATATTGGGTCATTTAACAGAAAAGTAATCAGGCAGAATGTTGACAGCTGAGATAAAAATTAACTGCAATTCAGCTTCAGTCATTTTCCCACTGTCGTAACATAGCTTCTCTGTGCCTTTTCTATAAATCCTTCCTCTTTGGTGTATTGACTTCACGGATTTAATGGCAGTACTAGATTGGCTGTTAGGTCTCATCATTCTATTAGCATAGAATTTATGTTTATGTCGCTAGACATAAACATAAATTCTATGTTAATAGCTTCTCTCACACTTCTCGCTTGTAGAACTCTCTTCTGGTTTCTTGATTTCCTGTCAACTACAATCTTCAGAAATTTAAATGCAATGCCAAGCATCATCATGTTTCCTTGAATCCTGGAACTATCTTCCAGCTTCTTTGTCAACTATAATCCTCAAAAATCTTAATGCCACATCAGCAATCGTCTTGTCTTTTTTAAATCTGTTCTTTTATTGTCCTTTCTCCTCACTGATATTCACAGCGCTATTTTCACTTTGGAATGCAAAGTTTTGATTTATTTACTTTTTTTGCTTGTTTATTTCATTTTTGTAATTTTTATATTTCTATTTTTCTTTCTTTCGTATCAAATATTATCTTCAAAAATTTAAATGCAATGTCACTTGGCATCTTCTGTCCTCTTGAATACTGTTCTTTTTATTGTCCTTTCTTCTCCTTAATAATCTATCTTAAAGTTTCTTTTCCTCTCAGTAAAACCCTTGTGCTTTACTGGTTTTATAGCCTAGCTTAGGGTGAAATGACTACAAAAAAAAAAAAAAAAATTCAGACGAAAGAAATACTAGTTCCAAATTAACAATTCACTACGATTTCTATAGTTTGTATTCAATATTCAATTATTTTTCTAAATATTCCAGTTATTTTCCTTCTCAGAAACTAGCTTGCTAGGCAAAGATACATCTGTTTGTTTTAGCTGCTTACATTATTCATGCTACCTGAGTGAAACAAAGTAACCTTATCCCCCCTCCGCCAGCAAAGTATCATCTGATTTCCACTCTAACCAAATACCTTCCAATTTCCATCCAATTCTCATTCTAAGCAAATACATTCCAATTCCCATTATAATCAAATTATCAACATTTCAACTTGTAAACATACTCACCGGATTTCTCTATCATGTGCTTTATTAAAATTCACCACAAGATTAATGTTGTATTGTTCAAGGCTGGACTGGATTTGGGTCAAAGCTTGAATTTGTCGAGTTCTTTCACTTTCCAACTGAAAAAATATAAAATATTTCAAGATTCAAAAGTCTTGGAGAATGTGAAAGTAGAAATCAAAAGTTAAATCAACATTCCCAGAGTTTTAAGAGTTTTTGATTCTGTTTGCCTATAAAGCACAAGGACATTTCAAAGGGGAGGATTTGCCTGAGGTTTGGGCCTCCAGTCACTAGACTAGAACTGTTCCATCCTACAACCACACAGATTAAACATTGTTAGCCTCTTGCTATCTCACTGTGGCAAATTAACTAACAAGCTAGATTTCTTAGTGTTGTGATGTAGAGGTTAGCACTAATCAGCCGCTAAGCTCGTTTTATTGCTTCATTATTCTCAGTGACCACTTATATGAGTGTTCACTTGTGCTTATGCAAATTATGCATACTAATCTGCTGGTATCACTACACTTAGTTTTACAAATCCAGACCTTCATTGATAGAGAAACCGCTATACCATGTAAAGGGGGTTAACTTATCTTCCTTCCCTTTGTATTCCATTAGTAAAGAAGAAGTTCCACTCAGACAGAGTATTTCCCAGAACTGTTACTTTGTAGAACAGACTCCTGAAAGGATGCTTCCCCAAACGCTACAATGCTAAATTCTTTAAATCTAGAATTAACTGTAATTTATCTTAAACATGCTCATAATATGCACTACACACTTCTTTTTTACACCAATGCAACAATCTCATTCAGTAACCCACTACATTGAGTGGCTCTTAGGCCATAAAAAAATTTAAGAATGAGGGTTTTTTTTTCGATGTTTGAGATGCTTGCCTGAATTTTGCTACATCAGATATTTTGATTTGTTTTACACATAGATAACGTCCTCCATAGTTTAACTTTACTTACACAAATTTTAAAAACTTAATATTTTTTTTTACTTCGGTTTATAAATAAAATCCTCACATTTCTCTTGATAAAGTCTCTTGAGGGATGAAATGTGTTAGAAAAGAAACGTTTTTCTCTTATCTTCATTTCCATTATACATACATACATACATACATACATAAATATATGTAAAATGATAAAAATATAGTTTTAAAGTATTCTATATTTATGGGTAAAAGTACTCAATATCAAGGATAGAATATATGTAAATATAAAAGTGGACACTGAGGTCAACACCAAGTGGTCAGTCTGTTTCATGCTTGAACACAATCTTTAGAATATATATATATATATATATATATATATATATATATATATATATATATATATTACAATGAATCATTCATACAAAAAATAAATTAGTAAAGTTAATGATATAAAATGGCAAAATCCCTACACTAGCAAAATGTTAAAGATGCATTAACCTACCAATCACTCGATGAATGTTATGATCCTTGTTTTTCAAAATTATAAGCTGTATTAAGTCTTTCTTAATTACGCAAGTACTTTCGACTGTACATTCAGTCATCTTCAGGCATGGAAATTATTTTGAAATGGAAATTATTAAGAAAGACCTAATACAGTTTATAACTTTAAAAAATAAGGATCATAACCTTCATCAAGTGATTAGTAGGTTAATGCATCTTTAAAATTTTGTTAGCAAAGTGATTTCACCATTTTATATCATTAACTTTACTAATCTACTTTTTGTATGAATGAATGATTCATTGTAATATAAATTGAACTGCACCACATATTTGATTATATATATATATAATATATGAATGATTCATGTAATATATATATATATATATATATATATATATATATATATATATTACATGAATCATTCATACAAAAAACAGATATAGAAGTTAATGATATAAATGGCGAGAATACATCTTCACAAACAAACTTTCGGATAATAACTGTGACATTCCTCTATTTATTGAACAATTTAGTTCATGCCACATTGACTGAAAAACCTACCAGTACAAAAGAATTCTCCTATTACCATATTAGTACAAAAACACACAATCTTAAAATTTTAAAATTCAACCTCAGCATTGTGACCGCACGCTCCAAAAAAATTTCTTACAATTAACAATAACACATTGTTAAAAACATGGGCTAAAATTTGCTATGTTATTTTAGTCGTCATCTATGACGAAAAGATAAAGTTTTATTAATCAAAAGTTAGAATGTTCTAAAAAGGATGGAAAAATTTAAATAATTAAAAAATACTTTGATCTTTCCTCTTAATAGTAACATAAACCTTTTGACAATAAAATTTTGTTTTCATCAAGCTGAAGGCTGTTATTATCATGCTATGCATACTTTTCATTGATCTTATGAAGATACCTACATCATACATTATGTTGTAAGTCAGAGTGGTTGTTGAATGTGTAAATCAGTGAGGAGAGGCTGTATACATTTCCTATTGTTCTTCATCTTATCACACACACACACACACACACACATATACTCACACACACAGACATATATATATACTCTCTCACGCACACACACATATGGTGGCCAACACCTCAGGTATGTTGAGTATGACAATAGAAAGACATTACACACATATGTATATATATATATATATATATATATATATATATATATATTTGTACACACATGAATCCATTCTTGTAGATGGAGCATTAAACTGTCTATTAAGTTTAAAGAATGAAAATCTAAGGAAAATTAATTTTTAAGAAATTGGAATTTGATGAAGATTGTATTTTTATTTCATTCATGGAAAAAAAAAAAGGCAAAGTTGACACAGCAACCAGGAAGGTCACCAATAAAGCCATCGATGACATTTGGTCACAATTGGGAGCTTTAAAAGCAAGTAAAAAACATGAGGGATAGGAGTGTGTGTCACTCAATGGGTCAACAGATCTGGTGTCTCTAATGTTGCAATTGGAGTAAGAAAAACTGGGAAAGTCATTACTTACGTCATCTTGTCCGGTATTTAAGAGGATGGTTTTCACTTTGGCTTTGGAGTTGCACAAAAGCTCGCAGAATCTAAGGAAATTGTAAATCTGGAAAAAGAATAAATGCACACTATGATGCACAAAAAAAACAAAAAAAAAAAAAAAACAAAACCAGACACACAAATGTGATTCTTAAAGGTAAGTTTGTTTATTTAAAAACTTTATAAAGGAAAGTTTGTTTATTTAAAAACAATCAAAATTCAGGTGAATTTTTGATAGAATGAAATAGATTTTAACTAAAGTTTAACAAAAAAGTCATCATTGATAACAAAATAAATTACCCACTCGTATATTTGATAAAAACCATAGTATTGTGCAAATAAAATGAAATATTTTATTTTACTTGTATTATGTCAAACTCTTGTTCTCATCAACAGTTCGAAATAATACAAGTATACTGACAATTACTCAACTCTGAAATGAAATACTAAAAAAATTTGTAATGCAGAACAATGTGTGTGTGTGTGTGCATATATTTGTGTTTAAGTGAACTTGATTGGAATTCAAACTTGGCTTTCTGATTTCTAATTCTGAGTCATTATTCATTATTTCACCTGCACATCCTTAGGAAAGGCATGAAACAATCTCTTATCCTTCCAGCTCTCAGTAAAACCCTTGTGCTTTACTGGTTTTATAGCCTAGCTTATGGCAAAATGATTAAAAAAAAAAAAAAATTAAGACAAGAGAAATACTAGTTCCAAATTAGTAATTCACTCAGATTTCTATACAATCTTTTTTCTAAATATTCTAGTTATTTTCCGTCTCAGAAACTAGTTTTCTAGGCAAAGATACATATGTTTGTTTTAACTGCTTACATTTTTCATACAACCCGAGTAAAACAAGGTAACATCATTTTTCTAACCCCAGGAAAGTATAATCTAATTCCCAATCTAACCAAATACCATCCTATTTCCATTTGATTTCCACTTTAACCAAATACTTTCTCATTCCCATTCTAACCAAATACCAACTGATTCCTATTCTAACAAAATCCAAGAGGCTTAAGCTAACATTCTGTTTTCAAGATTGTTACTACGTCTTGTTCCATTTTGACATAATGTATAGAACTCTTAGGAAGGAAGGACAATGCAACATGCTAAGGACTGGAACATGTCAGTTTCAAGAACTGAACTTACTTGGTGTATACTTCGGATGTAAGGGTCATCAATTTCCACTTCGGTCAAGGTGGGATCCAATAAGCGATTAAAGATGTGACGATAACTGTTTCCAGTTGAATCTTCTTCAATTTGGATAACTTCATGTATTTTGATTTCTATTTTCAAAAAAGAAAAGAAAAGATTATTCATACCATTGAGCCATAGGAGGCCATCACAGCAAAGCTAAGCCAAATCACCCAAGAAAAGTCCCAACAAGACGTGCGTACTCCTTAGCTCATGTGATTCACGTATGTATCTATATATTTATCTAGGGCATTCATCATGGCAAACTGAATGATCCATTAATGTATAACGTCAATCCTAATTGGGTGTCCCACCTTTGTTTAAGACTAAATCATACTTGGTAATTTTTTGTTTTAATCATTACACTCTCAGCAAGGTGATAGTGCCACTAAGATGCAAGTGGTTACTTGGAGTGAAAGAGAATGGGAAGACTTTAGTGAGGAGAAAGGACAATAAAAGAACAGATTTCAGGAAGACAGAAGATAGCAATTGATATTGCTTGAGAGTGGAGAGGCTTATCTTTAATCCGAGAGCAATTATTTGAGTTCAGTTCTCACTGGGTGCTCTGTTTCTTCTGCTTTGTGCCAAAATAAGAGTCTATATTTATATCTTTACATCTACTAATATGCATATATTTTACTTGTGACCATATAATACGAGGGTGGGCTGAAAAATTCATAGGCTGACTATGAAGATTTTAGAGCTGTGAAATCTTGAATGCATTAATTTCAACTCTTCTTATTAATAACTGAATTGTTTCTTTCCAGGTAAACTGACATTTGACTGTTCAAAGAGGACTTCAAATGTAACAAGTACTGACTTCTCTTGAACATTTGGTATTGTGGTGTTATTAAGTGCCTGGAGAAAAGGGTTTAGCCCCCAATGATATTAACACTGACAAGATTGCTATATTAGGGGATGACACTTCAGCTTTATCAACAATGCAAAAGCGGTCAGCTGAATTTAGGATTGGAAAGGAGCTTCTTGAAGATAACCCAAGGTCTGGATGTCCTGCAATTGTCACCACGAAGTAAAACATTGATCATGTTCACCACATTGTGATGGATGACAGGTGATTGACTATAAATCAAATAATTAATGCTAATTTACATTTCTGATTTGAAAATGCTCATGGAAAGTAGTGAGACATATGTGAAGATAACAATAGACAATGGTAGAGACAATGACGGTGAATATTTTTTTTAGAAGTCTTTCAGGCAAAAACATAGTTATTTAAATACATGTCTATTATGATTAGTTTTTCTATCTAAACTCATAACCATCCAAAAATGTTGGAGAATTACACCAACTGAAAAGAGAAAATTCAAAGAAAGGAAAGATGATGAATTTTTTTACTAATATTTGGCTAATATTTACTTTCATCTTAGTTTTGGCAATCGATCAAAAACAAGTGTAACACCTTGCATCTTAGTGGATTTATAGCCTTGCTTGGGGTGAAGTGATTAAAAAAATAATCATTAGATGATAGTTTATTTATTCTATTCATGGTTTACTGACCAAGTGAATAAAAATTGTAAAAATAAACTACCCCAATCTTTTGAAGAGGAGTAGAAGTTGATCCCTTGTTTCCAGTTTATGATTGGGTTTCCAGTTCCATCTAAATTCTTCCCATTCCCTTTCACTCCTAGTAGCCCCTTTAATCTTAGTGACATTATCTATTAAAATATTTCATCCTTTCTCGGAAATACCAGGTGAAACCACAATCATCTCCATGATTCGCACCAACATGCTTGGCTGCCATAGTACACAGGAACCATTATTTCTGGCTCTACCAACATGACAACTCTTGTCATAACAGGGTGCCTATTTGCTACTGCCTGTAACAAATATAAGAGAGTCTTTGAAGGAGATAAGACTTTGTTTGCTGAGAGAATGAGGCACTGGATAGCTTCTAAAAACTTTGGCTCTTGTGACTACTGGTAAAGTAAGTCCCAATTCTATACAATAGGGTACTAAATAAGTACAAAGTCTCTATTCCCCACGTCTTCAATTGATTTGAAGTGTTATCATCCTCAAACTCTACCTTACCTATCTAGAGTATCCCTGCCTAACTTCCCACTTAGAACTGAGTCTCTGTTCAGTGAACCCCTTCTATGATTTCTGTTATCATCTCTAAGCTGGATCCCCACAAAGCAGGTGGTCCCAATGTTATTCCTGTAGTAGTCATTAAGAAATGTGTTCATCAACTGCTTCCTGTTCTCTCTAAACTGTATAAGAAATGCCTTGCTGCCTCATCATCTGTTGTTCCAGTTTTCAAGAACTCTGGGGAACCACCTGACTCATCCAACTGTCAGCTTATTAGCCATCTACCCCTTTTTTGGAAACCCCTAGAGGCCCTAATCAATGCTGAATTGGTTCATCATCTCTCATTGCAGAGCCATTTCTCACATCAATCTGAATCTGGCAGACTGTCTTACCAGGGTGCCACAGAAGTGGTTAAAACTACACAAGGAGGGAACTGGGCCAGTACAGTCAGTATGCGCCACTATGAAGACCAAGTTGGATGCACATCAAGTGGCTAATATCCACCAACAATCCAGACACCCAGGAGTAAAAAGGACCCTGTACTTTGTTTGGTTGGTAGACCCTTCAGTATTGCCAGAAGTTGTAAATGTGGTTGTCAAGGAATTTTCCAATCTACTGACCCAGCTCCAGTGCATTGACAAAAAGGAAAGCTGGATGTGAGGGACAACTGGAGTAGGTTAGCAATGGACATCACCCACCATGGTGGTAAGCACTTTCTGACAATCATTGATTGTGAACCCTCTACGTTGACAAGATTCTACTAGTGTAGTTTGTTAGTTGGAGTCAATTTTTTTTTATGAACAGGGTCCACCACTCGAGATATTGACTGATAATGACACAGCATTTTTAAGCAATTGGGGGGTACATTTACATTTTGCCTATGCACCTGCCAAGAATGACATGGTAGGAAGAAGTCACCAAAGCATCAAAACCATTGTGGCTAAAAAGCAGTGCTCTATACCGGAGTCAGTCTACTGGTATAACATCACGCCCAAAGATAATCACTTGCCTACTATGGTACCAGCTGATGTGCTTCATAGGTACCATACATAAGGAGTGTCAAGGCCATGACCCTCCTGAACCTCAGGATACTTGAGAAGCATATGAAATGGGAGATGTCGGGAGATGCATGACTAAGTCTAGAATAGATCATGCGACTCAGATTAATAGTCCACAATCAGTCCATGTAGATGGAGTTCCTTGTCACTTGAAGGACTTGCATCCCTTCATGGGATCGGTCCTGATGTCTACACAGAACAGCGATTCTGAAAAGAGTGAATGGTTAGTAAATCTGAGATCAGCCCCACTAGGAGGAATTGATGACTCCCTCGATATTGAATCCTTCGAAGATGAAACAACTTTAGAGGATCACTCCCCAACTGTCAGCGGCCAAAATACTAATGTTAGCTCACCTGGTGACAGTTCATCTGAGGATGAAGCTGTATTTCAGAGAAGTAGCCAGCAAAAGCAATCTGTTCCCAAATAATAATGGCTAACAATTCTTCATCTAATAAAATAAAATGATGATATTATTGCCACAATGAATTATGGTGTTTAGTGAGAAAAATAAGTTTACATACCTTCATTTATTTCTTTTTCTGTTTTGATAACTTTTTTCAATTCTTCGGCTCTTTTCATGTATTCCTCAGCTTTTTTACGAAAATGATGTTTTTTAACCTCTGAATGGGTTGCTAAAATTGAAAATAGAATATATTCTCTTATTGAGTTATTTGGGGTGGCATTTCTAGATTTCAGAAATTGACAGAAAACAACAACAACAAAAAAGTCACACTAATGAATCATGGGAAATGGATACATCTTTAACATTTTGCTTTCTCAGGAATATTTTTCATATACAATCTTTTATCTAAAATTCGGAAAATGTCACCAGTGTGAGGCTATGGACATCCACACAGAAAAGGGCTGATGTGGTTTTAGCTTGGTCTCGTGTGTTTCTGTTTAATAGATAGCAAATGGTTCTTTTTGAAGTTCAGTTTTCTTAGCAGCATCCACTTTGACTAAAGGGGAATGGGGTAGTAAAGGAGTAGATGAGGGGGATTTTGGAGATCAGTGAAAACAAAACAGGATGTAAGGCATTATAACTAACAGTCATGCTTGGGATTGTGGGGTCGGGGAGTAAAGTCCTGGTCTGCTCTTGGAGGGAGACGGACTTGTTTGCCACTTGTTTTTGATGCTGCCCATTCATATTTCCAGTCTCATGAGGCAGGAGATGTAACAATTATATCCCATGCCTGATGAGTTGGTAAAACAATGAAACTTAAGTCCCAACCCAAACGTAGGTATATGTATATTTATTAATATATATTTCTTAGCTCTGTCTAACCACATCGAGCACTGTTATGTTTTACACCTTTAAAGTGAATTTAGAAAATATTTATTTGCTTACCTGTGTATGCATGCTAGCGAGCGCATATATGGTTGCTCATATCTAATTATTTGATCTACCCACCTCTCTCTCTCTATATATATATACACACACACACACACACATATCTATATATCTATATATATATATGTATATAAATAAAAAGAAAGAACAGTAAGATATAAAATCCGGTGTTCTTATAGATATTTTTATTTTTACAAAATAGTGCTCAATGTGAATTTACAGAGCATTAATATTATAAATTAATTGATTTAAAATATGGTTTTTTTTCGCTACACAGTTCCAACCATGTTTCAAAAATCAATTAATTTATAATATATATATATATATATATATATATATATATATATATATATATATACACCATGATTTTATATTATAAAAACAAAGATTATATTTTTTATCAAAAAGCAGTCAACCAGTAAATCTAACATGGCTTAATGTAAACAACCTGATGATGAGTGGATACCACTTTTGCAAAACTCAGATTCAGTTTGAACATTTTATTAACCACACATTACACAATAAGACTGCAATTTTTTCTATCATCCTGTTATATAAAATTGTGCAGTTGCAATTTAAAGTTAATTTTTTTTTTTAGGAAATCGTTGAGAAAGTAATTAATAATTATTTATAAAAAATAAGAAATAAGTTTCGATTATAATGCAGATCACCGAATTGATATCTTACTTGTACTTTTGAGAAGAAGACAGCGACCTATTTTTTACTTTTTATACATTTTATCCCGAATCAGAAGAGCGTGACAATAAAGAAAAGCACACACCTTTTATGGCCAAAAAGGAGATTTTTAGTGTTTGTTAGGATGTTTGACTTTGGTTTTTCATTTCAGATTTAAAAAAAAAAAAAAAGTGTGATTAACTGGCATAATCGAAACTTTGATGCCTTATTTTTCATAATAATAATTCTTTCCTCACCTATTAATATAATAAAAAGATTTGGCGCCTAATCATGTACCCCGCTGTAATACAGAAAGAAACAGTTTCACTTTTTTTTTAGACATTTTAAAATCGATTGTGAAAAAAAAAATAAAATAAGATAAAATAGCGAGTCAAAGAAAACTTATGATAAAACCGAGAAAGTATTTTTTAAAAATCACGGAAAATGGAAGCTAAAATAATAAAAAAAGAAGGAATTTTTGTTTTTACCTTTCAGAACTTGGAGAAGTAAATCAATCCCTTCTTGATAACAAACTAAAGCGTCGTTATACTGTTTTGCTTCTTCGTGTGAAATCGCTCGCTTTAACACGTTAATGGCAGATAATTCAATGCCATCAGTCATCGCTGCCATTGTCTGGTTTACTTAAAACGTCAATTACAATCACAAAGACAGCAGATAATGAAAACAAGTGATTACAGAATTCTTGAAAATAAAATTCCATTGAAAACAAAGCAAGGGAAGTAACTCTGACTGAGTCATCGACGGTGTAAAGGGAAAACATTTAGTTTTTTCTTAATAATTCCATCAGAGTACAACTGATTGCCAAGTGGATGGAATGATTACTTAATTTTTGATCTTCGTCACCCACTATTCAACTACCAGTGTTATTTAATCGTTTTAACATACTTTAAATTTATTTTTATAATTATAAGCAGGTCTTCAATCTTTTAATGTGCGAGAAGGAAATATTTACTATTGTTGATGAATGATTAAAACGAAATGCTTAGCTTAAAAAACAAAGCAGTTGAGTATATTTATTAAGTAAATTAGTATATATATATATATATATATATATATATATATATATATATATATATATATATATATATATACTGTTACAATGCATTTCTTGCATCACCTGATTGTAATACACGGGAAAATATCTGTGAATATGAACGGATTATGCTAAAAATAAGCAGACATATTTGTAATTTATTTAATCAGACATGCCTATATGTGTGTGCGCGTGTGCGTGCGCGCGCATGTAATCTATGTATCTCTCTATCTATATTGCGTAAATTTTGGCAGCATGTTTTCATTAAGACATGTCTTATTAAATTATTTAGACAAGTTTGTCTACTTAGTTTTAATAGGATCCCCTCGTAATTATGGACAAGTTTCTTAGTATCCTTATTAAAGAAAGAAAGAAAATTACCATGCTGATACATATTCATTTTATTCCGAGTACTTTCGACATTAGCACAATATGGTCATCGGGGTCTATTTTTTTCTAAGATAATAAACTGTTCTGAAAAATTTAATTTTTATGTGTGAAATGAAAAATGCTATGGTTTATGTACTGTAGAATTTTAAATTTCATCATGTAGACACGCGTGCAAATGTAAAGGGAGATAACTAAGTTATTGCAATGTCTAAATAATTTAAAAAAGAAAAAACTATTAGTTAAAACATGTCTTTATATATATATATATATATATATATATATTAAAGAAATAAAAGTGTGTAACTTAATATTACAAGACATGATAAAAGCGAAGCAACCCGTTACGCTTCCGCTCTTCACGCCTCTACGGGAGATTTAACTTAAATTAAAACAACAGAAAATGTGTAATGAGAAGGAGAAGGAGGAAAAAAAAAGGAAAAAAAAAATGAACACAAGGAGCTAGAGACAAATAACAGCAAGCCCCAACAAACATTCACGCTGTTTACACAGGAAAGGCTTGCGGGACCTGATATAAAGTGCCTCCAGCAACTTGAGATGAAATAACGAGTGCGACCGGGACAGAACAGTGAACCAATCAGCACTAAAATTAGCAGCACATCCTTTGTTATTTAAGAGGTGCTCATATTCAAATATAAGGTGTGATTCCTGATCTTGGTGGAATATGCTGTTTAATTCTCATGTCTAGGCGTTGAGTAGTTATATATATATATATATATATATATATATATATATATATATATATAAAATGAAATGGACATAGTCCGACAATTATTTTAAGACATTTTTATGTTTATACATTCTTTTATAGATACAAATATTTAAAAATGCTCTGTTTATAATAAACAGTATTAAACAACATTTATCGGCTTAAATGTCCGAGAAAATATTCGTTCTCCGACAGGAATTGAACCTGTATCCTATACGGGACTTTCATATAACCTGACGTGCCTTTCACCGATTTGGCCATAGAGGAGCGTTCGGTTAGCAAGGTCGAATTTACTGTCTTTAAACTTCACTCTTCCATGAATCTCTCACGTACATTCATATCTGCTCAAAGCGCATCCAAATGTAAATAAATGACGTCACACATTATGTAATGGACAAAGTCCGACAATTATTATAAGACATTTTTATGTTTATATATTCTTTTTATAGATACAAATATTTAAGTAAATACTCTGTTTATAATATATATATATATATATATATATATATATATATATATATATATATATCATCACCCAACCATCTCCTCCATATGTCTCAGTTGTATATCAACATCTGTGAACGATTTTAGCCCAGCCACTGACAATGTCAACCCAGTTTTTTTTCCTGTCCACCTCTGTTGACTAAGTTGATGGCTTGCAGGATGACAGTGGAAAGAGATTTGGCTTATATGACAAGTTCGACTTTCTCTTCTTGGGTCATATTGTTATGAGCTCTTCCAATGGGTGTGTGTTTTGTTAGATGCTGTCTCACATTGAGTCATTTGTAATGCAGTCTACGCAGGAGATACGTAGGACCGCCCTGTAGGATGAACAGACGCTGATCACAGGCACCGACCATAGATACTTAACTACCTCAACCACCTAGTAAGCCACAAGATTCACAGTCATAAAAAATTATTTTTGTATTCATTGGATGTATAAGAATTTCATGACTGATTTATTTGTAACGGACAACCCGTGTTTATTTTACAAAATGTTGTTCATCTTAATTATTCTAGATCAAATTTTCTGAAGTTTTCGTTCCCGTTTTCTGCCTTTGATATTTCACAAAGGACTTTTCCCCGACATTTCTATCGACATTCTATTGATAAATGGAGTCATTAAATTTGTTTAAATAATCCTCCAAGCATTAGAAAATCATTGAGGCTTTTGCGTTGAAATTAAGAGACTTTGTAAACATAAATTTGTCAGTAATTTCGTTTGGAGTCTGACTAAATTATCTCTCGTATAATGGCTGAGAATGTTTGAACTGCCAAGAGTTGATTCCTCAAATTGAATGAAAAACTTACAATGTCAAATGTGCATCCACCAAATTTATTTTCTACATTTTCAGCCCTCTCATTAATAAGTCTATTTGCACTTAAAGACAAATATTTGAAAACAGGATAAGATTTTCTATTTTTATTATAATTTCAATCATCTATTTCTCGTCAGTAAACAATTTCTCTGTTTTTGATACACTGAGAGAAATGTCGTATGAGGGTCTTAATCCTTCTTCATAATCAACCTGAACAGGTGCTTAATAAATGACAATATATTTTCAATTTTTATATTTACCTTTCAGAGTTTTAAAATAAAGCATATATGATTTTTTGTACAAATGGCTCCTAAATCTATTATCAGCTTTGATAAATGGAAAACGGTAAAATCGACATATTATCAACTGAAGCAACGATTTTGTTCTTTGAATATTATTATATTTTTTTCGAAATATGAGTGGTAGAGAAAAAGCGAATTCTTCTAGTTTGACTTTGAGTGATAGACGATCCGAAATGTTTACAATAAGCTTTCCTGCTGAGGAAACAATTGTAAGATTTCATGACTTTAATGACCAACCCAGGTGAGTACTTTATACAAATCATGTGTTTACTCACAATGAGGTCTGTAAGTACATCGACGATTTGAGCATTGCTCATTGTCCCAGGATATGTGTATGTGAGTGGGAAGGAAAAGGACAGATAGAGAGTGAGCGATTAAAGAAAGAGAGTGCATGCGTAAAGTGAGAGAATGCGTAGAGAGAGAGAGAGAGAGAGAGAGAGAGAGAGAGAGAGAGAGAGAGAGAGAGAGAGAGTCTGTAAAGAAAGAGAGCGAGAGGGAACGCACAGAAGAAAGATCCTCAACAAAATGTCTGACTCAATAAAACAAGAGAGAACTACCTCCTGAATAGCGCGCGCGCGCACACACACACACATACATGCATGCGTCTTAAGGCATGACAAAAGACGTTTCTATTTGAAAACAAAAGACTTTAACAATCTAAACAGTTCAAGAATATTTTATTAAACAAATTAAGCTAAATTTACTGAAACCTCCATTCGCCGTTTGTAAAATGTTTCCGTTTATCATAATTTAAATGTTACATGAAGTTCTGTCTTTTCATCCAGAATATCCGACAGGACTGCAATGAAAAGGCGAATTAAATCTTTCTAATTGAAAATGACCCAAATACCCGGTTGGATTCATGTCCAAAAACTTGTTCATGTGAGTCACTTAATAACGTACTGAACTTGCAATTCTTAAATCTTTTTGCTATTGTGTTAGTGTCAGTGTTATGATAATGATTGAAGATCGCTAGATGTTTATGAAGCCAGGCGAGGAAAAGACATATAAGAGATAAGAGTACAATATTGATCATTTGAAAAAAAAAGTCTTCTACTCGAATCCATTTTAATAATCATAAGGCATTATGAAAATATAGACGACAAATATCAACAGTAAATATCATAACAGAGTTTAATGAGCTGCCGTGTGTATGGAAACAAAGTGAATAAAAAATGGATCCTAAATATAAAAGAAAAAAACAGTGAAGTGATTAAAGCCGTCAGGCTGAAAGTAAAATTCTGACGAATACATTGACTTGAATATATGAGGCTGAAAGGTGAAATTTTGGCGAATACAATAAACAAAAATCTCGAAAGAAAAGCATTTATTCAGCAATTTAATTCTATCAAGAATATTTCCTGATCATTTGGCTGTAGTCATCAGCAAATGTCAAAGATTTGGATCTTGAATTTATCAGATCTGATATTTTCTCTTCTAGGATTCCGTTTATATTGTCTGCAAAAATGATATTTGATCTCATTTTTTAGAAATATTTCGCAGTATTTTCCTTATTTCATGATACACAATAATTCACAGATCTTCAAAATAATTCCAGTCAGGCGTCAGATTATGAGAATCAGTTAATGTCTTTTTGGACGCGCAAACAACAAAGACGAGGACACCTTTAGTTCTAAACATTCTATCACATTTGTCGTTCGTAATGAGTTTTTTCCATTTTCCCATCGCGGTGTAGCATATACAGGAATGGGTGCTTTAATATTCTCGGCGCAACCGAAAAGGGATTAAAACCCATTCTGATATTTGGATATTAGGTCAAATTATAACATTTAAGCATCTATTCGTCTTTTACATTGATGCACCGAAAATCATAGAATCAGTTTATAATATTGCCCCATCGTAGACGGTAAAGTGTTGCAACTCAATTTGGAATCCATTCAGAAGATGGTCGGAAGACCTTTGGGGAAGTGTTGAACCATACTGTCTCAATATTTTTAGGTGAAAGTTCTTATATATGCCTCACCACCACGTCCCATAAATACTTGATTAGGCTCATGTCACGCGAAGCCACAGCATTTATCCGAATTCTCCAAAATGTTCCTGAAAGAAATTCTAGGTAACTTGAGCCCGATGTCAAAGTGCATTATAAAGGTGAAATAATCTGTCGTTTTAGGGTTTCATAGAATCTTTGAGGAAATTGTCCAGCATTCACTGCTATATAGGAGGACCGATATTACGTAACAGTTCAGTACTAATTTACTCGTTTCTAAAGACATTTTCTTGTTTCTTAATACTTTGTTTAGCTTTTGAAAGGCATCTTTCTCTATCCCAAAGTGTCTTTGGATTTCAGTATCACACTTGCTGCCCTCTTTTAAAAACACTTCCTAGATATTTAAATTTTTGTACTTGGTATCTCCAGTTTGTAATTTGCATGTTGGGCTATTCCTTTTGCTAACAATCACGCATCCTGTTTTCCTGCAATTGATGCTTTCTTTTCGCTATCCTGTACGATCTTGTGTAGGAGTCCCTGTAGTTTCCTTTTTGTGTCTGCATATTTTATATTGTTAAAACTATGGCTGCCACTAATGAATTCTGGTAGGACCTCCACCTTTCTAGTTTTTTTTAATATTTACTGAATTCATTTTCTTTATGCGTGTAAAGGTGATTTACTGCCAGCATAGGTCATGGGTTATTCCAGTATCATTCCCAAATATTCTAAGGTTATCTAGCATTTCTAACAGCTATTTGTAGCATACTTTATCAAACGCTTTTGCTTTATCGATAAAATATAGGTATACATACTACTAGATTTTGGTAAAATGAGAAAAGCGACGGATATCATATACGGTTCTTTTATGGTATCACTGGTTCGGGCGAGTTGCCGTTAGTTGTGAAAACGGTTCCTCTTGTGTGGTACATGAAATCCTTCTCTCCTGTCAGTTTAATTCGGAAAAGTCATAAATCTCAGTTCCCAGCCCAAACTCGTCCGTGATCGAGATATCTAGATGGAGGTAGATAGGAGTGTCAACCCCAAGTGATTCGAACGTAGTTAAATAGACATTCTTCCACGCTTAATCCCTTTAATGAGTATAATCGTATATCCCTACAATAATACATTGACACTGGACATGTTCAAAAGAGCTGCTTAATCACTTGTGGGCAAAATCGGCTTAAGTGTCTACTCTATATTACTTATAATTTCGTGTCCCTTCAGAACACCGGCGATCATGGCTCTCTGTGCATATTTTTAATTATTTGTGAATAGCTATGCATTCTTGGGAAAATAGTGGCCTGATGCTTTCTCCATGGTTTGTAGAGCAGAATTTTCCTTCTCTTACACTGATTGCGCTCCAGGTTTAGAGTCCTGTCTGCTCTGCCATTTAAGCAATAGCTTTGAGAAGAAAAACGCGTTCATTCTTTTCCCAAAGTGCGAAAGCAAATGCAACAGGCTAATCTGCTCTATATATGGTACCTATGTTACTATTCTGAAATTTCCAAATTCTGAACAGTTTTTAATCTCAAGTGTTTCCGTTAAGTGATTCTTTACCCGCGACACAATATGTCCCCAGTCTGTAAATAGTCTTAGCTGAGTCTGGAATAAACTGGGTTTTATGACTAGTAGTCATTGATTAGCAACTCTTGAAATCAAGATGTAAGAGTTTCAGAGTAACCACCCGCTGTCCATAAATGGGAAGCAAGAAAATGTGTAAATAAAAACTTTCGGCATCAAGTGACAATCAGCTGGAAGATAGAAAATTCCGTTCATGGGCTTATATAGATACTGCGGTCACAGTCAGAAAAAGAGAGAGTCGTATTCGATCAGAGTTATCGGAAAGATCTGGTACGTTAGTCTGTCGTGAAAAAAGATATAAATTTCACTTATCTACCTCCAGAGAGTGCCAAGTGAAGCTTTTTTGTTTTATCAGAACCAAGAAATACCATGCCTTTTTCACCAAAGCGATATTTCTAGATGGCCATATTTGATAGTTTTATCTAAGTGCGATATCCAGTTTTCTTGCTATACGTACGCCAGGATATCTCCAATTTTGATCGCATCAGCGTAAACGGGAATCGAAACACGGCGTAGGACAGAAGAGCTTACCAGTCGGTGTAAAACTTAGGTACCCAAGCATATGTGTGCATGCGTGTAATAGCGACACTTCGACGTGGTGTAATGGTTAACAAGCTTGTCTCACTAGACCAATTACGACTAAGTACTGCGTTCGATTCTCACTGGGTGCTCCAAACAAAAAGATCGACATGGTGTAATGATTATCAACCTTGTCTCGCTAGAACAATTAAGATTGAGCAATGGGTTCGATCCTCACTGGATGCTCCGAACTTTCGGCTTTGTACCACATCGAAGTTACACTTAGAAAATCATTTTAGGACACTCTGACGTGGTTTAAGGTTTAGCAAACTTGCTTCGCTAAAACAATTACGACTGAGTAGTAAATTCAATCATCACTCGGTGCTCCACACTATCGGCCTTATGCCACATCTAAGTTACATTTGGAAAAACACAATAAGTATAATAGTCACTTAACAACAAAATAGTGATTCTAAAACATTTTCCTTTTCCATCGTCATATCTTGGCAAAGAATATTGTCACTGACATGTCACGATGCTTAATAGATAAGAGAACAGGGAAATCTTGGCCAAACCACTTCCCCATAAATACTTTACGAGAAGGCATCAGCAAGAAGCTGTTAATCTTGCCGTTATAATCGTAAATAAATTCCTAAGAATTCTAAGCCACGAAAATCTCCTAAACATACAAACAAATAGGAAAATCTGCCAAACATACAAACAAATAGGAATGGGAACCAGTAATACGGAGAAAAGCAATAATAACAAGAAAAATTGCAATATGAGCTCTGATAACAAAAATAATATGTGAGAATTTAATTCCTTCTTTTTCCTTTTTTTCCCTAATGACACATACCAGAACCCTATTTTCTGCACTTAAACTCCAGTATTACTTTTGTAATATTTTTGTACTATTTTAATGTTGAACTATGAATCAACGATCTTCCCATAAACATCTGTATAGTTTTAAATAAACAATAAGCTATATCTTGGGCCCGACAAGTTGGGTAACCAACAAAACTTATGTCGTACACCAAATGTAGGTATATCTATATTTTAATATATATATATATATATATATATATATATATATATATATATATATATATATATATATATTTTTTTTAAATATATATATGTAAATATGTATATTTTTTAATATATGTGTATATAAATTTTTAATATGTATATATATATATATATTTCTTAAATATATATGTATATATATATATTTCTTTCAATTATATCTATCTATCTATCTATCTATCTATCTATCTATCTATCTATCTATCTATCTATCTATCTAATTGGTCATACCTCCTGACGAGTGGTGCGAACAATTACAAAAAAGGTTCATCTACGAAATTGTGGAGTCAGAGTGCGGAATATAACATCACTCACTTAAGTGAAAGATTTTATATTTGCATTAATCACACACACACACACACACACACACACATATATATATATATATATATATAAACGTGCTACAATTTTTCCAGTTTGGAAATTGATGAGCAAATTAACAAAAACAACAAACCGGATGCCAGTTATTTTTACTTTTATTGTTTTTCTCTTTTTAATATTTTCATTGTCTTTTTCTTCTGTTAATCATCCCTCCACATTTGTTTCTTGTTGATGTCTCTAGAAATGCCAGTTGTAACAGTGTTGTTAATCATGATAATGATGGCAATGCTAGTAGTGGTGGTGGTGGTGGTGGATACGATTTGACGCAGTTATCATCAGTTATTAAGCGTGGCCCCGCCCACCTCCTTCGCTGCCCCGATTGAGAATCCTATTGGCTAACCAACTGCGCAGACGCTTTCCCAAGCAAATCCCCTCAACAGTTGGAATAAGAAAATATTTGAAGGCAGACAACTCAATCAATAACAATCATACGTAACTTGTAAACCCTGTTTATCTAAAAACGACCAGGTTTATTTGTTTATCTGTTTTGTGTCACTTCCAACTGGTAATTATACGACCATCGCCGCCACTGATGACTGCTTCAAATTTGTTCCAGATGCTGAAAATAATCCCAAGCCTAATCCCCGAAAATTATTAAACGCAGGAGACTTTTAATTGTTCTGTTATTGATTTTCATTGGTCTTTGGATCGTAAACTGTGCAGAGTTAATAATAATAATAATAATAAAAAAACTACCGCCGTAAAAACACAGTAGGTGTATTTGCCACTATTATTCATTATTTGCAGATTGTCAGGTAAAGGCAACTGAAATTTAAAATTCCTGAATGTTATAGAACAATGGTTCCCAACCGATTTTGGGCCACGCCCTTCTTTGGTATTTCTAAAATTCTGGTGCCTTCCTATAACATTTAACTCTTACATATTCAAAATTTGACTGCAATTCACTGTGAAAGAAAGCTTAAAAGGCCATTAACATGACCTTTAAATATGCCTCCAATAACCAGAGTGTCTATGAAAGACAAAAATGAAAAAAACAAAAAACAAAAAGACAGTTAAATATATACAGTTTCAAAACATATAATAAAGAACTGAAAACTAAAATATTTGAATGAAAGTTTATTCTGTAATATACTTTGATCATTTTAATCTTGAAATAATAATGTAAAATGGAATCTGAGCTCACTAGAAAACAATTCACTGTTAATAACTCATTCTCGAATTGCCCCCTTATTCTGTTGGTATAGTAAGCCGAAGGGTGCACATACTATGCATGCCAC